GATGCCCATTCCCTCTTTACCTTTTTCCTACTTTAAAATTCATCGTGCCAGGTACGAAGGGGAAGGAACTCCGGGTGAATGGGTGACTCGCTTTCTCTCTCTGTGTGTGGGTGGATGGATGCACGATAGAAGTGGCGGTGGCGCCGTACAGAGAGAAGTAAAGGACACAGTTGTATCCCTGTTTGTTTGTGGTGTTTGTTCACGAGCTGCCGGCCTTCCACTCTCCAAGTTATCGGCTTCACACACAAGCACACCGTCACATATGTATATATTAGTCTCTGTTTTTTTCCCCTCCCCCCTCTTATGTGTGTGTGTGTGTGTGTGTTTGGCCCGCATTTCGTCAGGCCCGTAGCCCCAGCAGTCGGGGCCAAAGTATAGTGTTTTCTTTGCTGTGCCGCAGGGAAGCATTGAGAGGAGGGGAGAAAGCGACGAGGGCAAGATGAACGCACAGGCTGAAGCAGGCGGGGCGTCGCCAAATGCGGAGATCGTCGTGGCCCTGACTCGGCTTGAGGGCGCCATGGCACGCGACTTGGAGGCACTTCGACAGCGGCAGGCCGCAACGTTTGCGGCGGAGCAGCCGTCGTCGTCCCAGGAATTTTTGTACGCCAATGAAGAGGTGGTGGTACCACAGCGCATCGTGGCATTGCGCGCCAAACGTAGTGCCATCACGAATACGATGATGCCCCCGGAAGAGGATGGCTGCGAGTAGCAGAGTCAGTGGCGAGAATCCACTAATTGCTTCTCTGCAAAAGTATGCCGTGCGTCGTTTTTTTCTTTTTCGTTTATTTTGTACAATTATGCTAATTTCCTCTTCCCCACAGTGCGTGGGCTGCTGCTGGGATTCCCACTACCAACAAACTCCCCCGTTTTTGTGTGTATGCATATATTTTTCCTTCGTTCGTTCGTTCGTTCTGCTTCTGTTGCTCCTTCCCCTTGAGGCGGTTCTGTGGTGTGAAGAAGCACGGCAATCCACTAGGGAAGGGCGGGGGCGCGGATCGAGTGGCTGGCGGCGAGCGTCCACCAAGCTCGTCCGTCCTAGGGAGAAGACCGGGAAACGTTGCTAGCACGTAGGAAAGTGTGGTGGGAAGGGAAAAGGGAGGGCGACAGCTGACACTGAAGTATGCTGCGTCTTTGTAGAGTGTGGCTGCGGGTGCAGTCGCACCAGAAGAAGAAGTCGCAGCATCCCAACGCAGGCACGCGCTTTGGCCGTGTGTACAACCGTGGGTTCATCCGCTACGGTTTCGGTGGCTTCGGCATGAGTGTTTACACACCAAAGAAGGATCGCACCTTCCGTGTCCAGCCGCTACCGCCTCCGTCTGGGGACGCCTTCGCGGACAACACATCGCTGGTGCCTACCACGCGAACGCTGTCGCCCAACTTTCGTGCCTTTGCACTGCAAGACGGCGGGGTGCTCTTTTCTCACCCATCCCATGATCAGATTATGCGTTGGGGTCAGGGCGTGCTGACGGAGGAGACGAAGGCCACTGGGATGACCTCCATGGACAACTACGTCAACTCCCGCATTCAGTCCATCATAGCAGAGAATACCGTGGAAAATGTTGCGCTAAGCCATTGGCGTCGGCGACACATGTGGAATCTTATCAAGTCACACGGGAAACTGCAACGGCGGTGGGGCGTGTCGGATGAGTCGAAGGGTGCGCGATCAAACATTTACGGGCGTTCTTAAGGATTCCGTGTTTTACTTTTTTTTGTGTGTGTGTGTGTGCTTTTGGTGTGAGGGGGTGAATTCCGCGTCTGGTATGCCCTGTGTAGTATTTCATGCACACAAATGATTTTGCGCCTGTTTCTTTCTCTGTGAGTGTAGACGCAGGTGTGACTGTGGTTGGTGGTGCGCTTGCTGTTTTTGTTGTTTTTTTTGTGGTCGATGATGTTAGGCGTGTAGAAGCAGAGCGTGCGTGCAGGCGCACCGCTGAGCCACGCAGTTACATGCTTCCTTATATATTATATTGTTCCTGTTTTTCTCGCGATCAACACTTTCTGGTGTTGTTCTTCTGCTCTTCCGTCCAGGTGTGACACTTTTTTGATTGCTGTTGCTGTTCTTCCCCTTTTGTTTGTATTGGCAGGCCGTGTGTGGGGCCACTTGCGCGCGTGCGTGTGTGAGTTCTTTCTCTGCTGGCTATTGTCATAGAATAGGCTTGGTAAAATGATTCATCCCTATGCCCTTCTTCTTAGCGGGCTGCTCACCTCTTCAGCGGCGTTGGGCGGCCACCTCCCTGCCGCCGTGCTGCTCATGTATATGATGCTGTTGCGCAACGCAAAAGGTGCGACCTCGTCGGTGGTTCTTCTGCTAGCTTTTCTCTTTGCACTATTGCAGCTGCTCTCCACGCTCATCGTGAATCTAGTCACTGCCTTCTCCCCCGGGACGTGGAAAGTGCTCTTTGGCGATCACCGTGTCTTGGTCGAGTCTTTTGGCGTCTACGAGGCAGGGCCGGGCGCCAAGGCATGGATTGTTGCAGGAGCCTGCATCCCCTCCGGGCTCACTGCTGCGTACATTATTCTCTTCCGACGAAAACTGTCACGCCGCGTCTGCTTGGGGCATACGCGCCCGCTGCTAACAACGATGGCTTGGGCCTTCATGAGCGTTGTGACAGCATTGATCGCCCCGACCGTCTTGGCTGGGGCGCTCTTGTTGATTGGCATGGCTTCCTTCTCGTGTGTGTCGCTGGGGGCAAGCACACTTGTATTCGGAGCGGTGCCTTCTCGGCATGGTCGCTTTTCGCTCCTCGTTCTGCATGTCTGCTCCGTGTGTGGGACCTTTGCGAGTTGCATCATTTTGGTGGCCTCATGTGTTGCACAGAATAGCGCCGTTGCCTACGTCCTGGGCGAGGTCGACCCCATGTACGGTTTGACGAAGTTGTATCATCAGCCCGTGGACATCGCCGTCCGTCGCTTTGTACAGCTCTGTCTCATGATGATTACACTTTTTCTCGCCCAAATGGCGGTGGAGTGTCATGGAAGGGAGGTGCAGCAACAAAATGTGCGTGAGCCGCTTCTGCGTGAGGAGGCCTCGAGAAACGTGCCTCGCGTGAGTGAAGGAGTTCGGAGTGCGACACCCGTGGCGGTAGTTTTTAACCGTGTCGACAATGCCGATGCTGGGGCTGCTCCTTCTCCTCGGCAGCAACGTTGCTCGCTTGCAGTGGATACACCGCACGGGCGTTCCCAAACAGGGCGTTCATCTCTCTGCAGCAATGCTGTTGTCGGCGTGAGCCTCATCGAACGGGTTGTGCTCGTTTTTGGTCATGCTGGCACGTGGATGCTGCGGAAGCTGCTTGCCAGTTCCCGCCTCGTGCCGCTGGCGCTCATGGCTGCCAACATGATTACCTTCCCCACCGTAGTCTCATTGGGTTTGTTGCCGACGATGATGCTGGGACAGATTTTGCACGCTCAGTCCTTTGCGGCGCTTTTGCGGCCAACGCTGCTGCTCGCTTTTTTCCTCGTCAATGCCCAGTACGTTGTTTTTGCCACTGATACGGCCCAGCCAGACATCGTACGGCGCCTCTTCTTGAGCGACAAGGGGCGGTGGCTTGGTTTGGCGCAGCTGATCGCCAACGAGACTGTCTTTCTTGCGATGCTTGCGGCCTATGTAGTTATTCGCCACCACGCCCGCCTTGTCCAGCTGGAGGAAAATGAATTGGGGGACGACAACGACGACGACGCCGCCGTGCCGCCAGCGCCGCGGCCACGGTCATTATCTCCGGGGCTGCCTTCACGTACGCCTCGGGAGTCTGCGACGACGTCGAGAGGGAGTGAAAATAGTAATCACTGCGTCAACGAAGAGGCTCCTTTGGACTTTCTGGGGGTACGGCGAGTCGCGGAACTCAAGTTGGGGGCTCAGCGTGTGGCGGAGCTGCTTACGTATCTTCCTTCTGACCCACTTGAAGGCTCCGAGGCATTTGCGAAGCTCTTTGCTTCTCTGGTTGGGCGGCGACCCACCGCTGAGGAGGATAGATGCCTTTGCAAGGATGGGATTGGCGACGCCCTCTTGCTTGAGAAGCTGCATGATTCACAGCGTCCTCTGCTATCTTATTATGTTCTTTGGACAGGTGTGTTGTTGATGCGTCACGCCGTTCTCATTGCGCTGTGCCTTCTCTTCCTCGTGGGTTCCTTTGCGTACCACATGGACCTTCTACACGCGGTTGTGTTACTGCTGTTTATCCTCTACTTCCTCCTTCCAGAGACTACTGACAATGCGTGGATGCTTGTGGTGGTATATCTGATGTGCTTGACGTCGTTTGAGCTCATATTTACCTTTGTGAGTGGGTTCGTTACACTTCCCACATACGTTGCGGGCACTCCGTTGCAGTACGCCACAATTGGGTTGGTTCCACTGCGTTCTCGCTACGAGGCTGTTCCGTATGTACTGGCTGTTTTTGTTCTGACGTTTTTGTTCTTGCGGCTCCGTGTGTGCCGCTCATGGGGGACCGCTGTGTCACTGCACGAGTGGGACCGCTTCTGCCGCTCCAACGTCGCCCGGAAATGGTCCAGGCGGGCCACGATGACGGTGGCCACGACGGTGTTCGTGGCATTAGGCGTGTTTCTGCATTACTCTCTTATCGTGGAGGGGTTTCTTGCGCTCTTTCTCCTTCTCACCATATCCGCAGCCGCGCTTGCCCTATCAAACACGCTGTTTAGGGCGTTGTGGTGTGTGGCGTGCGTCTACGGCGGCGTTGTGGTGGCGGTCACCTCCGTCTGCCAGTTTACACAGTTGGCGGGGGTGCTGCGGGAGTATGTCTTCCAGCGCCTCTGCCCTGGCGACGACGGCAGCAGCAACGCCAACGCTGTTAGGCACTGTGAGCAGGAGATTGGGTTGTACCCGGCGCGTGAGGACATGCCGCTCACCTTTTTCCTCGCCCCGTGGTTCCTTGCCTTTGCCACGGCGATGACGCACTTCGCCCTGGACCGCGAGAGCGAGGCACCGCCCACACGACCCGAGCACGATGAGGAAGCGGGCAGGGGCGTGGACGCGACGCAGCAGCAGGAAGAGCAACCCGAAGACCAAACTGACGGTGGGCAGAGGTTTGTGCATCCGGACGGCGCATCTTTGCCTTCGTTGGTTAGTGACGATCAGCGCTTTATTCGGCACTCCCTGCGGCTGCTCGCGGCGATGGACACCGTTGGCGAGTGGGTCGCCGCCTTTGGCGCAGATTACGGTGGAGTGCTGGGGTGGGTGTCGCTTTTCCTGCTCGCCACGTCTCGGTTCACGGTGATAGACTCCGTCTACGTGGTGTTCTTTCTCCTTGACTTCACCCACATCTCCGTGTTGGTTTATTGCGTGCTGCACATCCTTGCACTCTACACCTACAAGTTTTCCTTTGTCGCTGAGATTACCTACAGCTTTCGTGGTGTGCCGCTCGCTGCATTTATTGGTTTGGAGAAGGGTGGTGGGGACTCGCCCCTTGAGCTTGTGCTTGGCCCGGTGTTAGTTTTTTTCGTCATGCTGCTGTGCATTCATACACGTGGGGCCAACAAGGACATCCGACGTCGTCAGCGCACGGAGGGTCCGGAAAGCAGCAGCTGGAAGAGTGTCCTATGCACGCAACTATTTTTCTACGCCGGCTACGAGGGACTGGTGTTGACGCTGCTTATTCTCCTTGCCTCTTCCAGCGATTCTTGCAGTGGGGCCGTGGTGGGATTGTTACTGCTGCCGCTATTACTATTGACGGGGCGGCAGCGACTATATCGGGCGTCTCCCTCCTTTTTCCTTCTGATGCTGCTGCTTTCCCTCATCCTCGTCTGGCAATACGCACTTCTGCTAAATGCCGCGCACAACGTGTTTCCCACGATTGTGAATTTTGCTGAAACAAACGACGCGAGTGACACCTGGCGGCGCTGGGTCTTTGCCTCACACTACCACACCCTCGTGGGGTGTTTTATAGGCATTATGCTCCTCCACACAAATCGCCAGCAGTCTGCAGACACGGCCGTGTCCTTCTCTGTGCTTCGCTCCCAGTTTAATGGGCACACCACCTTGGTTGGGTTTGTGCGTGCGGCGTCTGTGAGGTCGCTGCAACGTCTACCACGTGACTCCTTTGACCGCGTCGTCCCTTGCTTTCTGGAGACTTCACCGCCAAGCCGTCTTGGAAGTGTGACGACACTTGTTGTCTATGCCGTGTCGTATCTGTGCCCCGTGGCCGTCTTTTCCTTTGCCGCGGGTGTGGCGTCACCGCCCTCCGTCGTGAATCTCATATTGCTCATTGCTGGGCTGTTGCAGCTGGGACAGATGGAAATGCTGCGTTGGTGCTTCTTCTCCCTCTGGCCGTTCATTGCGGCGGCGTACTGGCTTCTCATTTGCCTCCCCGTCGTCTGCAACGCACCGTACGTGCGGCAGTTTCTGGCGGAGCATCGCAGTTTCAGTGAAGTTGTGGGCGTCATGCAGGCAGGTGAGCCCTTCCTGCTGGGCCCGCTACATGTCTTGCTTCTTTTCGTGGTGACGGTGCAAACACGTGTTTACAACGAATTCCGCTATACAAAGGTTCTGCGGCACCTCTACGACCGCACCTCTACGCGGCATTCGCGGCACGAGGAGCTGTGGGCGTGGCTGCGGGCAAAGTACGGGGCGGAGCAACAGTTGGCGGACGCCAAAAGCCGAGCCCTTCGTGCGAAGCTGAAAGAGATACGGAGCACCCTGTGCAGGGTCAACGGGGCGTGGGAGCCGGAGAATATTCCCCTCGAGAAGTGTACGGCCGAAGGGGTAACCGGCGAAACTGAATTGCAGAATGACGAGATGACCATGATGGCGTTGCGTCCGCGTGCAGCAAACGATGATGCGGAGGATAGCGACGCCGCCGTGCCGCGGCTGCAAAAGGACGAAGGAGCATGCTCGTCGAAGGAGATGGAGAAGAAGGAGGAGAAGGCATTGACTGACGAAGACATCAAGGACGCACATTCAATGCCCGACGGTGGTGGCGCACGCAAGCGGAGTCTAAGGACGCGTCTTCAACGCACCATCTATGCGAGCGCCACAAGATTCGCCAATTGGCTTGCACTGCGTACATATGACCCGCGCCGTCACACAGCCGCACGTTACCGGGGGCTCCACACCCGCCTGTTTTGGGTTGCTCTTCGAGCCTTGGAGCGGCATACCGTGATGGTAGTACTTCTTGTGACTATGATTAACTTTATGCTTTCACGATGTTTGTGGGAGTTGCTGCCTTTTTGCTTTATACTTTTGGTGGCGATCACCTACCACCCCTTTCCGCCACGCTCTATTTTTGTATGCCTCTTTTACTACGTGGCATTTGGGATACTCCTGAAGGAGCTGGTCGAGGTTGTGCTTGCGCACGTTTCCTACTCACCGTCGCTTCTCGAATTTCTGAGGTGGACGATTCTGCACGTGTCGGAGGGCGCCTATTGGAAGCAACGGATTGGGTACTCGTATGTTATGATGGACTTTGTTGTTTTTGCGACGCTGCTGCTGCATCAAAACACCTGTCTGGCGAACGGCGTCTACAGCCAAGAGGGCATTTTGCGGTCGAGGGAGTGTGAGAACCCTCCAGAAGCCGCGCAAGGCGTCAGTGGGGGCAATGATCCTCCTGCCGCCACTGGGGCTGCTGCTTCTTTGGATTTCTCGCCAGTTTCTTTTGCGGATGCCGCGTCCGCGACGGAGCAACTGGCGGGGAAGCAGCAGCAGCAGCAGCAGCAGAAGGGGCGGCAGGTGGCCTCCCCACCGGAGGCTTCCGCCGGTGTCGGCCGCACACAGGGGGCGATGGGAGTGCGCCAGAAAGTGTCTCTGCTCGTGTTTGGTTTCGTGCAAAATGCCGTCACCACCCCTGGTGTTGGCAGAGACTGGTACATCTACTCCTTAACCGTGGATGCCGCCGCCTTGGTGGTGTTTGTGCTTGGCTACAACAAGTTATCCGGCGGGGCGGAGGACACGCTCCAGGAGAGCCTCAGGCGGAACCTTCTCCCCGGACCCATGGTGATTGTGGTCCTCGTCTCCATTCTGTACATGATTGCCGATCGCATGCTGTACGTTACACAGTGCATGAAAGGGAAACTGCTCTTGAACACCATGAGTGGCGTGGCCTACTGTCTCTGCTACCTATTGTGGGGAAACCTCGTAGCGGTGCAGTCCCGCATCGTGGGGAACTTGTACTTTACGCTGAAGATCATTGCCCTGACAATTGCGGTGCTTCAGCTACGTGTTGGCTACCCGCGGCATCGTCGACATGACCCGTTTACATGCACGGCCGGCCGCTCCTGGATTATGGGGTGCTTGTATGCATTGTACCGTGGAGTGCCGTTCCTTTGGGAAGTTCGAGTCGTGACGGACTGGACGGTGGAGAAGACGGCGTTAAGCCTTGACAGTTACCTCAAGATTGAGGACCTCTACGACATTGTCTTTGAGCGACAGTGCAGAATACACGAGGCGCGTGAGCAGCAGCCTGTGCTGGGTACGCCCATTTGCCGTTCCGCAAAGCTCAGTATAGGCCTTCCGCGTCTCGCCTTGATCCTACTAGCGCTGATGGCCCCACTTGTGTACTACTCCACCTTTAACCCTGCAATGGAGTCCAATGCGGTGACGCAGCTGCGCGTGGGCCTCTCCTTCACGTCCTTGCAGCCTTTTTACGCGTCGACGACGTTTACCGCAGAGGCGATTCCCAAGGAATGGGCTCTGTGGTTGGCCCGCACACGTCCCTCGCTGGGGCAGGGGGGGATCATGAACACGAAAAAGACGTTGCAGCTAGTTACGCTAAGTTCCTGCAGCAATGATCTGTGGCCAATCAGCCCGCAGGCATTCCGGCGACTCAATGAGCAGCTTGCCGCGGCGGTGAGTAACAAAACGACCGTGCAAATGTATCATTCACTCGAGCTCACACGCAGTGGGACGGCGAATCCCGTCTCCTACACACAAAGTTGGACCGTCTCCTCGACGACAGCTCAGGCGATTCACTACATGTTGAATCATCCCATTGCACATGGCACGAATTCCGTTTTGCTGCATAACTTTTACACTCCTTTTCTTTTTGTCCACCCCGACGGCTTTGCCGCGTTTGGCGATGGAACTGGGAGAAATTTCATGGACTGTAGTATTGTGCTCCGGCAGGAGGTGGAGCCGGCGCTAAACTACACAGTCCGTTACTGGTGTGTGAAGTGTCAATCCCTCTTTACGGGCGGAAACGTCCCGAGTGCCAACCTCACACGCTTTCCAGAGTGGGACTGCCTCTCCACCGGAGAGGGATGCAGCAGCTTTGACTTTGAGTTGCGGAACGGGGATGACGGCTACAACCCGGTGTCTATGTACTTTGTGATTCTCTCCGACCCCTCTGTCGGCGGCGTGTCTTTTCTGCAGGGCATCGGCATCGTCGCTCTCTACACGACGTTTGTGCTCGCCCTGGGCCGGATCTTCCGCGGAATGTTTGCTGACAAGGCAAAGCACGCGGTGCTGACCGCCATGGCGGACCCCACCCCAGTCGCCCAGCTGATTGCGTACATCGAGCTGGCGCGGGAGTGCGGCGACCTGCGGCTGGAGCAGTCGGTGTACTTCGAGCTGGTCGACCTGCTGCGATCGCCCGAGCGGCTGCTGCATCTGACGGGGTTCAACCGACGGCTGTACGACGCGGAGACGGAAGTTTCGCAGTCCCCGCGTCCCTCTGCGAGCGGCGCCCCCGCGGAGGAAACCGCCTCGCGCCACGATGACACGCCACGGGCACCGGCGACGGGTGCCTCCACCGCCGGCGACGGCGCGCACGAGAAGCGGGAGTAAATCGCACGCCCCACCACCATCACCCCCACATGGTCCCATGGAAGGTCTACCGGCGAGCGTTCTGCATTGTCTCTTCGCCAGAGAATGAAAAAGAAAACCAAAACAATAAAAAAAAAAGGAATGAGCAGCAAATTTTCCATCTGGGTGATTAGGATTTTTTTTTTGTAATTGTGCGTGTTTCCTTCTAGTGCCGTTGTTAATGTTTGTGTATGTG